TCCATGGGGAACTCGGGGGGCAGGGGGGGCTCGGGCGGGGGAGGGGAGGCGGTCGAGGCCTGCTGACCAGTGGGAGCCGCCAAGTTCGTCGGCCGCTAAGCCTGAGTGGCAGCCATGGCGGCTGACCATTGTTCCCCCCTCGGTGGCGGCCCCTCGATCCGGGCGGGGGGCCCCCCGCCGCGGGGCCCTTGGCATTCCCGGCTGTCCCCCTCGCTCCCTGGCAGTCTATTCTCCGGCTCCCCCTGGCCTCCCCGGGCCGGTTTCACATGCCAACGCCGATTTAGGCCCGAACAAAAGACGCGGCCGCTGACGGCTTCTCCTGGGGCCCGGTTGCCATGGCAACGCCGGCCCCGGGGGCAGGCGGCCTCCAATCACAGCTGCTGGATCAGATTAGTGCGAGCTCTAATGCTCGGCGCTCAGACACAAAGACACCCCACCGGAGCCGAGCGGGGCCTGCTGCTTCCCAGGAGCGCCCTTCCCTCTGGGGCCCAGGCCGCCGACCTGCTCTCGGTCCTGTACCCGGGTCCCCGCGGAGGCGCCTAAGCCTAGGCCTCTGGCTCCTACATCGCCAGCATCCGCTGGCCAGGGGACCTCCCACCCTCTCCCCTTCTGCCCTAGAGACAGGGGCCTGGAAACCCACCCAGTCCCCAGCTCACATCCCATCCTCCAGCCACTTTCTCCTGTGCCCTCTGCGTAACAGGGAACTAATGAGCCTCGGGATAGGAGAGACCCAACCTGCAGCCTGTCTCCCGTCAGAAAAGACCAGGGACCCCAGGCCTAAGCACAGCAGCCTTACTTCACCCCCAGGCTTAAAATTTGACCCCCTCTTTCCCATCTCCCCCTGGGGCCTTGATGTTCACATCACTCACCGTTCTGAGGACACCCTATTGTCTGATGTCACCCCATCTACTTATCTGTGGACTAAATGGCCCAGAAATTTAACCTCCATGCACCTCAGAGCTGAAAGCCAGTCCTCTGGGACTGATCAGCAATTTGGGGTGGTCTCTTCAGCCCCTCTCCACTAGCTAAGAGATCAGTGCTTCCCACCCGAGCTCCCACCTGTGCAAGCAGGGTCCTGAGTACAACTGGGAGTCATATTTATTGCTTCCTTATCATCCTGACCAGGAAGGGGTGGGGGAAGGTACAACCGCCGGTGGACTGGACAGGTGCAAACTCCCAGGAGGCCAAGGGGTGACTGGATTGAACTGGCTTCGGGAGCAAAGCCTCCCTCAGGAGAACGAAGATAAGCAGAAGGGCAACAACAGGGACAGCTACTGTGTGGCTTCTTTCCCCAGGGATGTGCCCAGAGTCTGAGGTCCACAGATAGGCCAGGAGCGCGCACGGTAGGTTGGCCTGGCTTCACCCGCAGAAGGACCCAGCCCCCTTTTCCACCCCTGCAGGGACTGGAATGGTCGTGCTGGACTCTGGCTTGCCTCTGACCAAAACTCTCCAGGGCTCCCAGCCAGCACCCCCCAGTTTTGACCCACCTTCCCGAACTGCTCAAAATATTGCTTCACGTCCTCCACCGTGGTGTTTACTGATAGCCCCCCAACAAAGATCTTCTTCGTTCGAGTCACCATCTGTTAGGGGAAGGGAATGAGAAAGTGGGCATCTGAGTTCTGTGGCCTACCGCCACCAGCAGGGGCTCCAGACCTCCTGCCAGGGCGCCAGCTGACAAGCTGTCTGTGGCCCCAGCTACTCGGAAGGCACCCCCCCCAGCTCCCCCTTGGACCCTCGCCTCTAGGCCTGTCACGGGCAGCTGTGCACCCCGCACCATGGCTGGCTCACTCCCTGGGGTCTGAGGTCAGCCTACCTCAAAGAGCCCACCAGCCCCTCCTGGGAGAGGCCCAGGTCCATCCCACGGTCCCCAGGGTCCATCCCAGGGTCCCCTCAATGCCGACATTTTCCCCATCAACCTCCTCCCAACCCAACCTCTGGCAGCCTGGTGGCCCCAGCCCTGTTTTAGGAAGAACACATGGTCCTAATTACCCCAGGAGCGCATGGCTAATCCACGGCAATTCCCAGCCCCATCCTAACACTAAAGCACCTTCTGTCACCAAACTGCTTAATGGAATTAACCCAATTCTGACCATGTGCTCCCTGGTGCGGCCTCCTTCGAATACCTGCCTCATAATTGCTTTCAGGCCCTCTGCTGGACCCTTCCAGTGATGCCCTTTTCCTGTCTCCCAAAACCTGCCCCTCTCCCTTTGCCATGGCAGGAGCTGGGCACCTTGACTCCAAATCTTAAAGCATCTTAGTTCCCACCAACCCTCTTGCAAAGGGGGAAACTGAGTTCTCCTGGAGAGGGACTGAGTCCCAGGACACATGGTAAGTCAGCAGACTCAGGGTCCTGCTCCCTGGATAGTAACCAGGCTTCCACCTGTCTCCTGTTTTGACTGCTTAAACATAAGATGTAGGCTAGTAGTCCTGGGGCCTGGAATAACACTTAGGCCCCTGTCCTGACTACC